CGTTTAAATTATATTAAGCCTTAAAGTTCTGCATAATTAATGGCGTGGCCACTTGAGTGACAGGTGGATTGCCGCTGCTGTCACCTCCGTCGAGCAAGGTGGGCGTCGTTTCAGCAACCAGCTCCCGCCTCTTTGCCCATTTTCGATTATCCGGGATCCGCGGTGCCAAGATGACGACGGCCGGCTCCACCAACTTTGAGCTTCAAAAACGCTCTTCAGAAACCTACGTGTGACTTCACGGACACTACGTCCATGTTTTTATACAGTCTATGGTTTTTTGGCATTTTCATTTCATTTTACCTGATAAAGTAAGTTAGCGTTCATGAGTGCAGCTCTGCTTTGTGTACAGCCATTACCGGGGAAACCGCTTTATTATCCGCTCCAAAAGCGCCTCCTGCTGGCAGAGAATTAATTTGCCTTTCTCACGTAGAGTTGTAAATGTGAAAGACGTTAATGTGCATTCTAAAAATCTTAGCAATTCAGACAGTAGTATTTATTTGTTTTAAATTAATATAATTTATCCCCAAGTTTCATAGACAAAGGCCTAAGCTTACTCCCTGACTTAAATGTAATTCTGAGCTGTTTCAACTGAAAGAAACTGGCACTGACTGATCTTAAAATATATCAGTGCCTTTGTTTTGTCTCAAGATACACACGATGTTTTTTTTCTAAGGCACGTTTATAAAAAATTATTTAAATGTAATTTTATAATTTTTAAATATTAAATTATTTAAATGTAATTTAACTATGGCCTAATCCTGTCTTGGTCTAAGCCCTGTTTGTGAAACAGGCCTATAAACTTGACTTATCCCTTTTCTTAATACGGTTTTAAAGGCTGAAATGCCATTTTATTTTATTTTTTGTTTCTGTGAATTTTATGGCTTAATATGTTACCATAGACATTGCTCTACCCCACTCATACGGTGTTCATTTTACTTGTGCAGCTCTTAAAAAGGGTCATAAATTGCCTTAAATTGATTTTTTTTAAATCCACAGATACCCTGTAAGTAGTGAAATAAAATTTCTTCCTTGGTATTTTTTCTATATTTATCTTTTTTATTTGGGCTAGTTAAATTAATTTTCAGGCTACCAAAATCTGAAGAGTACCTGCCCGAAGGCTACCAGGGATTTCGAAATTTTGCGAGCCCTGCAACTCATTTGTATTCTAAATACAGTATCAACGTTACACTACCGTTCAAAAGTTTGGGGTTGTTGAGATTATTTTTTTCACCAAGGCTCACCAAGGCTGCATTTATTTTATCAAAAATACAGTAAAAACAGTAATTTATTTGAAATAGAAATCTTTTGTAATGTTATAACTATTGATTAATTTAATGCACTCTTTTGAATAATAGTATATATTGGCCATCAGCGGTTTTTGTTTAATTGAACATTTTTAAATCATTGTTCTATTTCAGTTTTTCTTTATTATAGCCCTGTGATGCTTTTTTATATAAATTAAACTGTAAATAGTTGATTTTACATGACCGAGTAGTTACAGTCAGTAGACGATGCTCCTCCCACATGCATTATGAACCCCGTAGATGCTGGCATTTATAATGTAATTTTCTAAAGAAATGTCCATTAAATCAGGATTGTTGCGAATCGGCAGTGCTCTGCCCCTCAGCCAGCACACAAGCTCCTGGACACAAAAGACAATGATAAAATCTATAAAATATCTTCTCATTTCTGGCAGGTGAATGCGGATGCCAACAGGCTGAGCCATGCTGGATCTCGGCCTTCCCTGTCCCACGGCGGCCCACAGTATCCTCAGATAGCCATGAACAGCTGCAAGTACAATGGGGGCATAGTCAGACCACTCGGCAGTCTGGGGGCGTCCCGGAGGAACCTAGCAGAGCTGTACTCTGAGACACAGCCTTTGCAGACCCTGCACACTTCCGGCCTGGAGGTGGTGGTCTCCAAAGGGAATGGGGAAGACCCTAGTAAGCAGTCCAGCGAGAACCTTGTGAGGCAAAGACCATACAGCACTCCGCATAAGAAGAACAAGGACATTGGCTATAAGCTCGGGCACCGGAGGGCGCTGTTTGAGAAACGCAAGCGCCTTAGCGACTACGCCCTGATTTTTGGAATGTTTGGGATTGTTGTCATGGTGACGGAGACCGAACTCTCCTGGGGTGTTTATACAAAGGTAAAAGTTTTGAATGGCCTCAAAGAGTTTTCTGGACACTTAAAAGGATAATCCACCCAAAAACAAACATTGTGTCATCACTTACCCTCGTGTTTTTTCAAACCTGCATTCATTTCCTCCTGCTGAAGATGATGATATTTAGTTGATATTTTGAAAAATGTGTTGGTTCCCTTTGACTTCCATTGTAATTTTGTCCATACAATGGAAATCAGTGGGAAGTTATTTAGTTACCAAAATTTTTCAAAATATTTTATTTTGTGTTCCACAGAAGAAATTAAGTCATACAGGTTTGGAACGACGTGGGTGAGTAAATGATGACAGAATTCTACAATTTTTTTTGGTGGACTATCACATACAAAAATGACTTAATTTCATTTCAGTATATATGAAAATATCTAACCAGATCAAATCAATTGAAAAACTTATTAACTTAAAAAAAAATCAGTGGGTTACACTTGTCAGCATGAAATAATAATAATAATAATAAAATAAACTGCAAAGCACAGAACAAACTGCTTAAACTAAAAGATGCAAACTGAAAATATAAATATGAAAGTGAACTCAAAGTATTAATAAATACTATAATCATATGTAAATAATACTAAAACAACACTCTTTGAAGCTTATATTTTTGCTTGAAGTGTTTGCCTGAAGTGTCATGCTGTATTCTCTCTCTCTCTTTTTTTATTATTATTTTTTATAAATATCATTGGTTGTAAAATAACACTGTTTGGTTATATAATTAGGATTAAGACATTCCTAGATTTTTCTTTTTAAGTTTGGTCCAAGTGTCCAATACTTTGAGGCCGCTGTATGTGTAATAGCATGCATTTGTTGGATGCTGGTTGAAAACACAGACTTGTAGTTAAGAAGTTCAACCTGCTTCACCAAGAAAACCCATTGTATTGTAAAAAGAAGATGGCTATGCTATCAACACGTTAGACCAGCACCTGAACCACTATTAAAATTCATGCTTGTGTAAGATGGTCTTTTTCAACAGGGCAGTGATGTATCACAAGATTTCACATGTTAACCTCTGCTAGATTAGATATATACATCTTACTTCATCCTTAGTACTTTGATTCAGACCATATAATTAAATGCTGCAGAATATTGAAGTCCAAGAGTGATATATTTATGAACGTTTAAAGACACTAAAGGATAAATTCATCATTTACATCGGCTACTTTGTGCGCACTTCATTAATGGATAGAGGCATCAGAGAGCATCAATCAATGAAATCTTCATAGCATGTTCTTGACAATTACATCATGTGTAATTTTTTTTATATAAGTATTTGCACTCTTTTTTCCCAAGCTATAGCTTCTATACAGAAAGGACGTGAACGAGATAATAGGCTTTACCCTTAATTTTTTCCTTACTTAATTGTTTTAGGGACCTTAAATGGCTCAGCTATGGAAAGAGCAAGATATCTCCACTTAGAGTTATACTCACCAAGCCTTCAAAAAAATTTCATTTTTGCCATAAAGTAAAGATGGTGATAGTATATTATCACTATTCACTAACAGCATATTGGCACCACAGTAGGCCATCTGTCATTGCAAAATATGATTCTGAAGAAAAATATGCTTAAACCAGTCAGATTTGCTGGTCTTACAGTAGCTGGTTTGACCTTTAAAATCATTGCCTACAAGTTGTCGTTCTCATATGATTCTACAGTATATCTGTTTGTTGATTCTTTTGGCTTAAGCGAATCGCTGGCTCTGAAGTTAGTTAGACGATCCCTGGAGTGGAGCTTTCTTTTTTTAACTTCCCCTAAAGCATAGTTTGATGCCTTAGCCAGCACATCATGTTCCAGTGTATCAGCAGAGTCAGACAGGTTTAATGAGCTCCAATTGCACTGATCTCATAATGAGGATTGTCATACAGAGAGAAAGAACCAGAGCTAAGATTGAAGGACAGAAACAGGAAGAGATAATTGTTGTTAGTTCCTCTTCTAGTCACGATTGTGTGTGGGGAAAACTGGACTGGACTGGACTTATGGGTATACTTTGTGTTATATCAGTATTGGCTGCATCTGTTGGAATTAGTTAAAAGCCCAAGCTATGTTTCCCATCTGAAAAAATCACAGCCTCAACCAGCTGGTTAAAGTCTAGCTCAGGGATGCTCAATCCCGTTCCTGGAGATCTAATTACCTGCAGAGTTCAGTTCCAGCCCTGCTCAAAAACAACTGTCTGTAATTATGAAGTGCTGCTGAAGATCTTAATTGGCTGGTTCAGTTGTATTTGATCAGGGTTGGAACTGAACTTTGCAGGAATGTAGATCTCCAGGAACAGGATTGTGCACCCTTGGTCTAGTTGGCTTGGAGCTCCTAAACTGACCTACTGAAATGTGCCAAAATCCATCTATAACCAAACAGACCAGGTTAAGATGTAACCCTGGCCTGGTCTGTTGTCTGGTTATGGAGGGATTTGGGGCACTTTGCAGTTGGAGCTCCAGGCCAACTAGATCACCTTAAACCTGCTGTTTGAGGCTGGTATTTATTTTTGTCTTATCATTTTTTTATTTTATATTACATGAGTAAAAGTACTAGTTGTAAAAGCCTAAGTTGTAAAATAAAAACTACAGCTTCCCCAAGACTATGAGTTTACATGCTTGACTAATCTGTTATGGAAATCAATCATAGTTATACTACAAATAACCCCCACCCCCCCCAAAAAAAAACATTAATGCAGTTAACCCATGGTAACCACAAATTAACCATGGTTTTGCTACACTAACCATAGTTTAACTATGGTATTTGTATGCGCTAAAAATGCTGGGTTAAAAACAACCCAACTTGGGTTATTTGGCAACCCAGCACTGGGTAAATATTGGACAGAACACATGCTGCGTTATTTTGACCCAGCTGGTTGGGTTAAATGTTTTTACCCAGCATGCTGGGTTGTTTTATTGAAGTCAACTATTGTTTAAAATTACTATATTGCTGGCTTAAATTTAAAATCACACACAGAATTACTAGAGGCAACAATAGTAATCGAAAGATGAACATTTATTAATAAGCAAGAACACCTATGGACCAAAATATAAGACAAATTGAATTTATTTGGGTGAATACAGCATAATTTACAATATTACATTATTAAAACAAACATTTCAAAGAAGCGTTTTAATTTAAGTGTATTCAACCGTTCTCTTGAATCCCTTTTCACCGAAAAGGGGCTGCTTTTCGCAGTGGATTAAATAGTCTAGCTAAACTGTTGTAGTCTTGTGGCAACTTCTTAGTATCAACTTAGCAACATTTTAAAAAATGCTTAAAATCTAGTTTTAAAGTGGGACTGTGTGGTTTTGGTTATAGAACAAAAAGTAATATTAACCACAAACCTTTTTTTACTCTTAAATCGAGTACTTGTATTCCAAAACTTCCATTCTTGAAAGAGTCCATAACTTGAAAATGCTAATTGCTAAAAACTGAAACACTCTATATAGGTAGCTTTCATGCATCAGAACTGCAAAGTTCAAACTCCTCAAACTGCTGTAGCATGTGTGCAAGACTCTTACCCACAGTAGCCATCAAGAAATGGTGTTTGTCTGTCACTTATCAATATATTTACTCTTGTGGACAACACTTTTATCCAAAGCAGCATAGCCTACAGTGCAGTAACGGCATATGTTTTCTTAGTATGCATGTTCTCTGGGAATCAAATTCACAAAAAACAAGTGAGCTGCAAGAACATAAAAATGTTAAACATAAACTAATGTTGTTGTTTTTTTTTCAATGTCTCTGCAGGAATCCTCATATTCATTTGCACTGAAATGCCTTATTAGCCTCTCCACTGTAATTCTGCTCTGTCTGATCATTATGTACCACGCAAGAGAGATTCAGGTAAGTAGCCGACTCAGCTTTGGAAGCCATAAACAAGAGCAGAGATTGAGACAAGAGCCTAAAAGATTACAGAGGAAGCACTTATGCCAATTCCTAATGACTTATAGTAGCAGCAAAATGAAAACTTGCCCTGGCTTTTGTAATTCCTGCTATCTGCATTCAGCGTCTGTGCTTTTTTTTTTTTACCTATCCATTAAGAGGTCTTTATAGAGAAGACACTGATTTTGATTAATGATGGTATTACAAGTGGGGCTTATGGCTAATAGGAGATGTAATTTAATACAGGCCTGTCAATCAGTTGCTTTGTGAGCATTATTTAATGACTTGGAACATCACATGATGGTCAAATTACTGAATGGATGAACAATTAAAAAAAACATTATCCCTGATTGCAGGTTGTGTACATTACATTCATTGAAACAAAAGAGAAGAAATCCGTATTATAATCATAATACTAAAACCACAGAGAATGCTTTCAGATAATATATTCTTTATATTGTTTATATTGTATTATGTCAGTTTATATATCATATGTTCATATGTCTGTATACTGTATGTATGTGTGCGCGTGTATATTATACACACATACAGACATATATTTTATGTAATTTAAATTGTACATTTATTTGTTTATATTTTTGTAATTATTATATTATGATATATTCTAGTACTTAATATATAACATAATTTTAGACTATTAAATAGCATCTAAACATGTTTAAAACAAGGTAAATGTACCTGACAGAAATGTATA